TGCTTTAATTAATCCGTTTCTTTTATCTTGACACAGACAGTATTTTTCTTCTACACAGGGTTTTATTTTGAAATAGTTACGTAAAGGGGAAAAAAGAGTTATCTGAAACTCCCTCAAGTCTATCAAAGCAGCCTTTCCTAACCAACATTTTCATGAACTGTTTTAAACTATCCTAGTTATAAAATACTTGGATATTCTTATCTGTTTTACTAAGACGGCAGCATACAAGGCTGTGCATTAGCAGACTTCCCATTGCTGTAGAGCAGTGATGCAATTAGGCAAAAATAAATGGCAACACAAGGGACTCCGATACTTGCATTTTGCAAACTTTAGATACCAAAAGTATTCTACTTCTGCAGGTGGAAGTCCCCATGGACTGCAATCGAATTTTTACTGTAAAAGGTCAAGTTTAAGTTCAAAGTTAATCAAGGGGAAAAAAAAACCCAAAACACCTCATTGACAAAAATCCCAGGAATAGAGAAGTACAACTGGTCAGTTTAGTTGGAAGAGTTATACCTGTTTTACCAGCCATGACTTCAATCTGCTTGACTGTTAAACTTTAAAAACCCAAAACATACATAGCACTTCAAGGAAAGATTACTGTTCGTTTTTCTGTTCCGCAATAAATTACGGAAGTGATTTTATTTTTTTTTTGCTATCTTGATTCTAAAATATTAGATTAAGAAAAAGGTAGCAGAAATGAAAATGAAGTTAAGTCACATGGAAGACGTGACGGATGATTCTCCAGAAACGAATATTCACTGTGTTTTTGGTGTAACTACGAAAATCCCATTCAGACTGAATCAAAACCAGGCACTGCTTACTTTTGAGGATGAAGAAGGTATGATGCATATTTTAAGTATAAAATTAATATATCTGATGTATTTCATTGCCAAAGGGAAAAGATTGACATAAACATTTTGGAAAAAAAAATGAACAACAGCCAAAGAAAAAATACACGGAGAACCTTTCACTGTTATGATACCAATCAGTAGATAAAAATGCTTGCAAGCACTCTGCACGTTTTTGTTGGATTACCAGATTTCTGCTCTCAGCTAATACAAATGGTACTTGGTGTTTGAAATTGGGAATATGTTTCTACCTCACAGAGTATTGTCAAGAATGATTCAAAATGTTTTGACAGCAGAATTTGACGATTTTCTTTACCCTGGGCAGTCCCGTATCCTGACAGAAGTGATGTTGGTTAAGGGTACTCATCAGGTGATGGGTCGATCGGAGCCAACAGAGGGATGGTGCAGTCTGTAACTTGCCTGCTTCTCGCTGAGCTGCTTGCTTGTTGGGACAGCCCGCTGCCTGCTGCAAGGAGCCTGCAGGCAGCCTGGCTGGGCCTGCGTGGCGGGTCACTCACTTACGCAAGTGTATTGCAGATACAAAGCTAGTGTCCGGGTCGTTTCTTTCAGCTAAGATCTAACATGGCTGATAGGCATTCTCTGCACCTGGTAGTGATGTGGTTTTCATCCAAGGATATTTTAAATGAAATACGAGAAGTCTAGTATTAATATTTGATACAGTGGGAGCATCTTTTGACAGCATAAAGATTCTACTATTCTATGCTACTCTAAAGATAGTACAATATCGTACCTGTTGGCTATAACCAATGAGATTTTATGGAAGTAGACATGCCTGAAGATGTGGATAGTGGGATCTGGTTGCCTAACTGTTATTTATTTCTCATTTATTGATGCAAAAGGAGATTTTGCTTAAGAAACTGGGGAATAGTTTCGGTTTTAGAATGATTAAACAAGGCTTTTCATATCTGAAAACTTCTGATTTTCCTTAGTTGCCCAGAGACTGATAAAAATGGGTAAGCATACTGTGAACCTGGACAACAAAATAGCAGATGTGAGAGTGAAGCCTTTTACACTTGAAATGGGAATCAAATTTGAGGTAATCAACTGAAACACAAAACTATAAAGATATGAACTTGCAGTACTTAAAAAGCTTTAAGTTCATTTTTTTGGGTGTTTTCAGTCACAAAGTGAACAAAAAATGTATTTTTTTAGCTCCATGTCACTATTTCTGGAAAGAAGATCAACGTTTCAGAAATACCTGAGCTATCCATTCCTGAAGACTGGATGAGAGACAAATTAGAGCTGAATTTCTACAAATCTGAACAGGGAGGAGGAGGAGAAGTAGAAAATGTGACCTACAACAAGCAGTCTAGAACAGCTGTTATTACGTTCCTCAGACCTGGAGGTAGAGCATGTAATATTTTGTGAGCTAGATGTACAGGGCATACCGTCCATTCTGCATTCCATTCCATACTCCATTCTGCGTTAACTTAACCACTGCAGGTAGCAAATTCTTCCCACAGAGAGTTAAGCAGATCAGGAAAAGATGTGGGTTCACCCACGCATCTGTAAATAGAGCAGCATTTCATCGTGTTCCTTTTCGATCAAACATGACCTGATCAGCAGTTTGTGAGCTTTATTTCTTTCTTTGTCAAAAGCCTATTTTTTTCTTTGCATTGCTAGACACTTCTATTGCAGAAAGAAAATTAGGAAAATGTGTTTGATTTTAGCTCTTGTTTCATGACAATGAAGTTAGACAGGCATTCAGATTGCCCAACTGTATGAAATTCTGTGAAGATCAGTGGAGCCACATCCATTTAGAGCAGCTGCTTTAGATTTATTTCAGAAGCTTTTGTGGGTATTTAATGATTTTGCTTTTTTGGAAATGCCAAATAAACTTTTTTCAAAATGCATATGAAGAATCTACAAGGGCGCTATCATGTATTAGTTTCTAAATCCATATAAGAAAGATGAATCTGTTCTTTGATATGCTTACAAAATGCATTTTAGATTATATTACTCTTACTCCTCTTTTCCTCATTCTCCATTACAGCAGCTAACGGCTTTGTGAGATGTACTAAATATCCTTTCTTTGTGAATGGAAGGTGCTATAGGCTTTCTGTGTCCCCAAACACCGACGTACACTTGGAAAAGTTTCAGGTAAAAGAATCTAGTCCAGGCTAACCCCTAACTAGAGCAGATACATGGGAAATACGAGATATGGGCAGAATTTTCAGTTCTGAGGACGGCAGAAGCTTTTGTGTCATGCACTTTGTGAAACTTAATAGCAAGTGTGAGTCTGCGATGTGCTGCTCTGCTGATAATCTTATGTTTTGCAGTGTGAAAGCTATAATTTATTTTAAAAGGATATGCATGTCTTTCCTTGATCAAATCATATCATTACTTACCATAATGCCTGTGCTAGACAGGAGGCAGATACTGAATTGTTTGTGAAGTAGGTTAATAGTAGACACAACAACGTTTTTCCCAGTCACAAAGCACTGTCATGTTCATCCCTAACGAGAGGCCTTGTTGGTAGTCGCAGCAGAGACCCTTGTTGTTCTATGAAACGTGCTCATTCATTTTTTTCATTCATTCATTCATTCACCCCAAAGAATGACTTTTTTCCTGTAATGCTAGTCTGCTTGCTCATCATATTTTCACTGAAATTGTCTTTTACTTTGTATGACTAGATTGTAATCAAGTCAGTATTGTCTATATAATCAGGCCTTTATGATTAAAGCATTGACTAGAGTGTGTGCGTTTATGAGATACAACAGCATTCTTTGCAGGTGCGTATCATGCATTGGCATGCATTTTTACGGAGTGATGCTGTCTAGAGTCATCGGAGATCCCCAAATCCAGCGTGTGTGTGTGTGTTAAGGAGTGCAGGACGCACCAGTTAGGAGGCGAGGTGCATTGCCTATTGATCTCGGCAGTGTACGATAGAGTTCAGAACTCCTGCTATTGTCAGTGACAGAAACATACCGCCCTGTCCAAAGTCTTAAAATGTAATCAAAGATCCTAGCCATATCTGATCGAGGATATGCTTATTTCCAGTCTCTGTCAGTTCCTTTAGATGTACAGGCAACAGCTGATGTGTAATACCGGTTTGTTTTTCTTCCCTCAACAGCTCTATTGTGGGATTTCTAAGAAGACCATTCTGTTGAAAGGAATTCAAGAGATGGAAGATGATGAAGAAAGTGTACAGGACATGATTGAAATTCATTTTCAAAAGCCTAGTAATAGTGGTGGGGAAATAGAGAAAATCAAGTATGTATCAGAAGGAGGAACATGGGTTTGTTTTGAGGAGGATACTTAGAATGCCATGTAGAAAATTGTAGACTGAACTCATGAAGTTCTGAGGTTTTGCTTCATCGGAGGCATAGGAAGTTATGCAGATATTGTACTTTAATGTTCTGAAATTTATACTTGAAAAAGAGGAACTCCCTGTCTTTCTGATTTGTGTAATGGCACAGACTTTGCATAGAAATTCAGTAAAACTCACTGCTTGGTGTTCCAGAGGTTCCTGATCGAAGTCACAGAAAAAGCCTTCAGGAGCACTTGAAACTTAATCTAAGATTGCTTTCTGCAAATTCGCAGATTTTGTATCTTGCAAATTTTAGATAGGTCGCGTACTCCAAAGTGGGATAAATCCATTCCTTCTTGCATTTTGGTTACAAAAGCTGTATGGAATCCCAACCAAAAGCGTCTTTGCAGACCTGCTTTTTTAAAGTGCCTTTTTTAAAGGTATCTCTGACAGAACTCCAGTCCTGCTGAGGTTTGCTGTGTGCCGCCATAACTCAAATACCTGAGAGCAGTTCTCCTGTAATTTCATAAAATCTGCATCATCAAATCAGTGCTAAAATTAAAATAGGAAAAGGGAGTGTGCAAAAACACCACAGATTTACTCAAGAAATTGCACCTTATAAGAAATGCCATAGCAGTAATACCGCTTTTAGCTGTCAAAACGTTGTTACTTCTCCTCGGAGGTGATGAAAATTCTGCTGAGCTTCTGATAAGTTAATAGCCTGGTTTATTGTTTGGTTTTAATATTTGTTTCTACAATTACATTTTTCCTCATTTTTGCTCATGATTTTGCTTACTTTAAAATATTACAGTTACAAATCGAAATCGATTCTTTATCTAAAACAGCTTGCTTTGGAACAATGTTGGTGACAGAGTCTGATGGTGAACGCTGTGTCTGAGGTATCTGTTTTCTTGGGTGGGACTGGACGGGCTGCTGGCTCTGGGAGGGTACGGAGAGAGGGATCAGCTGGAAAAAGCCCTAAATTAATTTTTCAGCATGTCAAGTCGCCCTTTTGTTTCCAGTTCATCCTTCCAGTTCTCATTCTAAAAGATCTTTGAAATAAAATGGAAGTGCAAGGTCAGAGAAGGATTTATTTTCCAAGAAGGAACGTGTTTCCTTTTCTGCTGTCGTCCTTACTTGCTACCTTTGGGGGCTGAAATGGTTTGGCAACAATGATCTTAACTTCAAAGCAGCATGGGTCTAATGTTAAAAATACCTTATTTCCCTAGTATTTGATATTTTAGTACGCAGAAAAAGGACAATGCACCAAACTCGTGCAAGAAGCGCACTACAAATATACCTCAGGTGTTATTGTTCTAGAGAAACTGTTAATAGGCAATAGGTGCAGTTGAATATGGGAAACTAAAAGGCTGCTAGCACCACAGTTAATTTTGAATTTACTGTTGGGTGAGATCCATGTGGCTGTAGCACCTCTTACTGTTTAGTGCATGCAAAGGCATGGGTTGATTACCTGACAATTATGAAATAATAATTTAAAAAAAAAGTAGTAGTACTGGAGTATTTATGGAGATTGTGTACTTTTGCATGTAACAGTCTTAAAATGTTGATAAGATCAGATGCCTTAAAAAGAAAGGGGAAACCTGATGAAGGTAAAAAATGTCACGGATTGTAACTGTACCTCACTGATAAATGTTGAGAAGTAAATCCTTAAAAAAGGAAAAGTTTAAAATTCTCGTAAGGCATCACCGTGTGGGGGAGTAGCAAGAAGCTACAGGTTTTAAGTACATAAAATGAGGTTTTAAGTAACATTTTAAGACAATTTTAAGACATTTTAAGACAATCGGTATTTGTAAATGTCTCGTTTTTTTCTCTGATGCATTGATTGTAATGTTTACATTTTAAAGCAACAGTGGTGCCACATAAAGGCTGGAAAACTGTTTTAATGATGAAAACCAAGAATACAGAATTTAGGTGATGTTTCTACAAATGGCAATATCCTTTTTTCTGCCTACTGCAGTGAATTTATCTTTGACTGGAAGTTTGAAGAAGAGCTGTGGCTTGTTTATACCCCCGCTACATGCAAGTACCTCACACTTCCATAGCTGCAGCTTCCACCGTGAGCCACCTCAGTGCCGGGTCCCTCAGGCGGCCCTGGCCTGGGAGCGGCTGGGTCCCCGTCCACCACAGCCCGCTCCCTGTGTGCCTCGCCGGGCGGGGACCCGGCGGCGTGAGGAGCCGCTGAGGGAGCAGCGGGAGGC